AAGCTGGTGGCCTGCTATTAATAAGAGCAGATACTTCATTTTAAAAGATTGGCTGGAGCTGTGGCCCCTCATGGCATTTTTGCCTGGGACCCCCTTCTCCTGGAGGTTAGCAGTGTGGATGGCCCCCACTGTCAACCTGAAGTGAATCAGGCCCTGACAGTCAGAGATGGGGTGCAGACCTGCTTTCTGGGACCCCGCAGGGTATCTGTTGTGGGAGGAATTCTTTGAATGGCCACCAAACGGGGGCAGCCAGGCTGAGGCGGTGCCCAGCTGGTGGCCACAGTGGGTCGGGGAGTGCGGGGCGGTTCCTGGCCCCCTTGGGTGGAAGAGGGCTGCGTTGTGTCTCCTTCCCCCGTCCCTGTCTCTCTGCACGGATCGGCTGGTGTGGGGTTTGGGAGTGCGGAGTGGTGGGGCGGGGAGGAGGTGGGCAGCCCCTAGGGAAGGACGGTGGGTGCGGGAGGTGAGCCAGCGGATAGCTAGGTAGCCACCACTGTGTCCTGCACCGTCATCTTTCTCAATGCTGGTCACTGATTGCACCTCGTTTTTCTGTTTCAAAGAGCTTTGTTCCGAAGCAACACTGGCTACTCAGCAAGTGTGGGTGGGCTGAAAAAGGCACACTTGGTGGAGGTTGCTAAGGAGCAGCTGCATGAAAACTACTGATGAGACGAGGTTGTGGTAGTAAAATGCAGGAACCCACGGAGGGCATTTTACTCCTGTGGTACCACAGAGGTTTGGACCGGACTAGGACTTATAATAATAGGACATGGTTTTGTGGGTTTAAAGCCTTTTTTTCTTTTTGAACATTGAACTTGCTGTACACTTGAGTTTGTCTTCTATTCATCCCAGTATGGTAAATTAGGCAATGAATGTTCTTTTCCACTTTATCAAGGCATTTACTGCTATCATCACGCCTTCAGGGCCAGCTCAGAGTTTTCCCCAGCTCCTTCATTTGGACAGTTGTCCTGAAATCAGCCCAGCTTAATTCAGCAGCTCCTATTTAGTGCTCACTGTGTGCCCGAGACTACAGATGTGAAAGGATGGACATGTTGCAGAGAGGAGAGTGATAAACGTGTGGTGGGGGGGTTGGTCAGGGAAGGCTTGTGGGAAGAAGCTGGGGTTCGAAGGGTGGCTAGGAGTTCTGTGGACTGCCAAGGGAGCAAAGGGCATAGCCCGTGCCGAGGTGGGATTGGCTTGAAATGGTATAATTTAGGAAATTATTGTCAGTTTTATGTTGGTGGGGTGTCAAGTGTGAGGAGGGGGTCGAGGGAGACAGAGACCGGGTCATGGAAGGTCATGCATGTCTGCTCTGAACTATTGTGGCATGAGAGAGTGACTCTCCAGTCACACCTGAGGTAGGATTCCTGCCCTGCACTTCTTAGTTCTGTAATGCTAGACAAGAAGCTTTATCGCTTCAGTGGGATGACTAAATGGCCTAAAATGATGTATGGCACGGAGTGGGTGCTCAACAAAACGCTTTGGTTTCTTCCTCCTTGGCTGCCTTCTCCTCCCTACCATTAGATAAGCTTTTTGAGGGCAGGCCTCACACCCCTTCTTCCTAGAGCCCGTCCTGCATTTGTGGAAAGCATATTCCCTCTGACATCCATTTCCTTCCCCTGACATGCCTGCCATCTAAGCAGAGGCCCTCGTACACCGTCTCCTGGCTTTTCTGTTCATTTATTCCTTAATGGGAAACCAGGGACTGCTGACGAATTGTCGAAGGTGACTTTGTTTTTGGAATAGAGAATCAGGGTAAATGTTCCTTCAGAAGACTTTTTGCCTTGGTTTTGGGTTCGAAAGTGCCAGGTTGGTTTAAGTCAGTGCTGAAATCATGGAATGTCTCAGGGCATTATTTTGGCGTAAACATGGGATATAATATCTAAACATTTTGTAGGTCTCATGGCTGCTGTATTAGTGTGGCATTAGTCAGGTGGTTTACTGTATACGGTTTTAAATGGCACTGAAACAAAATCTAGGAAACCTCAGGGAAATCATTAAAGAATACTGGTCTCGTCAAGTTTACCTTCCTTGTTCCTTTTTAATGGCCAACTCCTGTTCCTTCCCCCAGTTGCACTGCCTTGAAATTATGTGAGGATTGGCATCTTGTTCTTTGGCCACTTTGGGCAATTGCAGTCATATTTGAAATTCTGATTTCAGTCTTAAAATAGACACACTTTCAGGGTTTCCTGGAAACCTGTTGACAAGTCAGTGCTTCTCCATCTCCTAGCACTTCCACCTATGTCTGAGAAGGGGGCGCCAGAGTCCTCCTTTCCTGAAAAGCTGGGAGCAGGAGCTAATTTGCAAGTGATTTAGAAATTGTTTTTAATGTCGAATTTCCCTTTCTTTTCAAGTTTATTTGGAGTCTGCTTATCTTTGATCTCAGGAGCAGCAGAATCAGGCAGTTTAGCAAGCTTCTGCTTTCCAGAAAACTTCTAACCCTGTGCACGTGCTGTATAGGTTGCAGTGTGTGTCCTGGGGGGTGGTGGGAAAGGGGAAGCAGCAATACAATGTAAATAAAGATTCCGGTGTCCTTTCTGTGTTTACCTGGTCTGCACCTTCCAGCTCTTTAAAAAAAAAAAAAAAAAAATCAGTCTCTGATAGTATGGGAAGCATCCCCACACTGGAGAGACACTTTTTGTTCCGAGAGTTTAGATTTAGTACATAATTTCCCCTTACAGAAATTTTGTCTGTAGCATTGTTTCTAAGCAGGAAAAAAAGATTTTTTTGATAAAGGAAGAATTATATTGGGAGGAAAATATTTTTCATTCCTTAAAATATCGAATGAAGCTAAGCAGACGGAAATATACGTGCCCAGGAAAAATAAGAATAAAATTAACTTATTTACAGTGAACTGCGAAAGAAAGGATGGCCCCAGAGAAAAAAACAGGGCTACTAATTTTTAAGGAAAAATGTCTTTTATGGTAAGTTTCGTTTTCTGTTTTAAAATAATTGATTACAGTTTTCCACAAAGTTGTTAGCTCTTAGGTTACCCACCTTCCCCTGTCTTTTTTTAATGTTTATTTCAGGCCACATTTACCCTTGGCTCCTCAGAGGGAGATTCTTGGACCAGATTGGATAAGGCAAGCCTGCTGTTGAGCGCTCTGCAGGAGCATTTTGTATCTAGAAGTATTTTTTTCCGAGCTTTCCTTATTTGCAATTTTCTTGTTTCTTCGCGACAGCTGTCCTTTGTTTTCCACATAGAACCAGCTCGTTTTTTACAAAGTCTGAGACTAGTTCTCACCTGTGCCTTAGAACAGAAACGGGTTACTTTTTCCTCTTGATCCCTGAATCTCAGAGTAAATATGTGACTCACGAAATATTGGTGGACTTTGACTCTGTTTTCACATTTTCAGGGACATGTTTATTAACGAAATTCAAAGGTTTGGCTGGCTTTGGTGAATTTGCTGTCGCTTATATGCTGGTTTTATTTGGGTGCACACTGGTTTTATAGCTGTTTAAGTTCAGTCTCCTTTCCAGAGAGTTTTAAATATCTCTTTAGATCCCCCCTCCCCTTTTTTTAAAAGAGAAAAAAATGGTAAGAGGGAAGAATGGGGTTGCCTTTTGCTCCCAAGCCTAAATGAATAGTCATTGCTTGTAATACCGGTCTACACTTGACGCTTCCTACTGCTTTAGATGTGATGTATCCGGTGCTGTGAAGGTAATGATCCTCATCCACAGCAATATTCCATAACAGGAGTATCTGTCACATTCATCGGGATTACCATGTTCATTGATTTGTGTCTGTAAATCTGCTGTTTCTACCCTTTAAATTTGATCTATAATTGGACCTCCTTAAATGGTTCAGATAAGGTAGTCTGTATTTTCTCAATGCAGCGTGGCTGTCAGCTTCTCCTTTTTCATTATACATTCAGCAGACTTGATAAAATCAGCAGGACACCTCATTTGAAACTGTTTAATCGCTGCCTTTTTCCTTTGCTAAAACCATTGAGGTGGTCAAGCGATGTACACAAATCATTTTAAATAGAAAATATGGTTTTCTCTGTGACCCAGCTAAATAGATAGTGTTATGCAAAACAAGTTAAAAAGTAATAAATGCCAAAAAAATCTTCTAATTGGAGTAAAAAATTGTGGGCAACTCTATCCTCTCTCCAAAAGTAGAGTATCCTGAAATATTGCCAGGACCCTGTAAAGACAAGATGATGGTTTTCCAGAGATTCTCTGGTTTCTGAACAAAGCAAGTTTAAATTTTCAAATAGTGCTGAGCTGCCTTTTACATCCATTCAAAGGGAGCCCACACTTATTTGTAACGCCTTTGTATCCTACTTTTGTAGGGAGAAATCTGCTGTCTGTTAATATCTATGCAACATAACCTTTCAACCATTTGCTATTGTGGTAATAAATTTTTGTTTCTTTGTCATTTTGTCTACTCAGCTGTTACTCTTCAAAGTACGAACTAAAAATAATAGCTCCAAATAAATGCCACATAATAAAGTGTTTTACAGTTGAAGCTGGAATAACCTGGTGGCTGCAGCTTGCAGTCCTATTACCATTGCTGGGGCTGTAGTTTCTTCCCTGAGTGTCAAGGTGACTCTGCCAGGGCCAGCTCATTAAAACAATCTATCCTTTCTAACTGGCGTGGTATTTAGCGCTGTGCCCAGCAGCCTGCCAAGGCCCAGTTGTGGAGCACAAGACTCCCGGCATAGCATGTATGAAATTATGTGGCATTCACTTTTTGAAAAAGTACTAATTCTCCGTAACCTCATTTTCCTGCTTCAGCATTTTATTGTGAATAATTTACAGTTACTCCTGTCAGTAGTGAACTTAGGGCCAGTTGCAGGCTTACCCGAGACAGTGGTAAGTGTGACTTCAGGCTTTTGAGGAGCATTGTTTACCTGGTTTATGTGGCCCCATAGGATTAATATTTACACTGTGCTCGAGTGGGACACTGGGCGTGTTTTGCTGTTTTTACTGCCCCGAAGTCAACTTGAGAGGGAGAAGCTGGGAGTCGATAAATACACTAAAGATGCATCTTTTTCTTTCAGGTTCTGGCTCCTTGGCAGCAATGGCTGTGTTTGAAGATAAGTTTAGGCCAGATATGGAGGTATGTAAGTCCCTGCAGTTTTATTCCCTGTCACATGTTTTTCCAGCTCTGTGTCGGACATTTACAAATGGATTGCCGATTCCTCCAAAGCTTGCGCAGCACTGTTGTTCGTTGGCATGCTCTTTGGCACACGTAACCGCGTTTGCCGAGAAGACCGGTTGGTTGGGGAGCTTCATTCATGCTGTGCCCTCCCCCAGGCTTGGGGAGCCAGCACTGCTCGGCTTTTTGTTCTGGCCTTTGGGCTGTCTGGGGATCTTCTTGGCCGTAGACGCTGCTTCAACGTGGAATGTTTCCTTGGGCACGCAGCTTTCTGTGTCACGGTATCTCAGAACGACGATCCTCATCCTCAGTGTTTTCTCACTGAGAATAGAGGAACTGTGTATGTCTTTGCATGTCACACAGACCTGGTCTGAAAATGGGGCAGCTTAAAAAGCCCCTGTAGATTGCTCTGCGTCTGGAAGAAGATGGGGACAAGAGCGTATGTATGTGTAGTGGACTGTTCTCAGAGGGTGACGGATCTAGTGTCTCAAATATATTTGTAAGAGATCCTTTATTATATTTTCTTTGGTGGTGGGGGGGTGGTACCTTCTGAATGGCCTTCCACCTGTCTGCTTTAGTGGTAGATGTACCCCCCATTAAGCAACCTCCCCACCCCCCAGATCTCCAGGAACAAACCCACAGGTCTTCCATTGTCACTTCCGAAGGAGCGTTCAATATGCTCAGGTACTTCATGGTGCCACATTATTCCTCTGCTGTGCTTTATCCCTGCTGCTCAGCCAGCTTGTGGGCACAGAGGTCCTGAAGTCAGCCTTCATTATCTGCTCTTGGTTTTTTGATAGCTGTTAATTTTGTGATGGTGCGTAGCAACTTGTTTTCAACAATCAGTAGGCTGTTTATGAGTGGTTTACCCTACTCTTTAATATGTAGGCATCTGCTGTTTCTGCCTTTGCAGTATTGTTTTGTTTAGATACCAGAGGATGTCTCTGGGAATTACTTTTTGACAGTGCTTTATGTGTAATCATCTTTGGAGGAGATTGCATATTTAAACATTTTTGTTCTTCCACCAGCTCATTGTCTTCAGAGCACCAGCTGTCGTTGGAACTCTGAACTCTCTCTGCCCTTTAGGTTTGGACCAAGTGCCCTGAGAGCCAGAGCATGTAGGGTTGTGGATGCTGCCCAACCAGGACAGGGGTCTCTTGCCAGAAGCCTCTCTGCCCTTGGTACATGAGGTTAGCACACATAAGTGACTTGGTCACTGATGGCTAGATTGCTCTCCTTTCTTGGACATCTGCCAGAATTAAAACCTATGACTAAATAAAGATAGGATTTAGCTAGGTGTTTTGTAGTAAAAATAATAGTGTCTTGCTCCAATTAAGAATAGTAAACAGGTCCAAGTATCAACTATAAATGAGATTAGGATTCTGTTCTCATTTCTCAATGTGAAAATTTATTCCCATATCAGCATTATTTTCTATTTGGGGTTCTTAAGCACAGAGAAAAAATAAGATGTACTAGGTCACTTAAAAAGAAAAAGAAAAAAAGGTCTCCCAGTCTTCAGACTAAAGGAGAGAAGTTCCCGAGGCTTCACGAATCCATTAGAACTAACGAAGGTATGGGGAGAAAGACTGACGATTTTTGTTTAGAAAATCGCCTCAGTAATGTCAGGCCCTCCTTTAAACTACATTAATCTTTTCAAATTTTCTTGAAAGCTTTGTCTATTTCCAATTGATTGGAACCTCCATATGTTAGAGAAAAATGAGAATTGCAGAAAAAGTTGAAAGCATGAGGTATATTAAAAGTGACTTAACACTCTGCTAAAGTAATTTTACATTATTCAGAGTTTAAATTTGAAGTGATTCAAAGGCCATGAATTTAATATTGATGTGATTCGAGGGAGTAAAGGGAAATGTGATCATCCCTTCAGTAAAATTTGTGGTATCCTCAGTCTGAAGAATGTGTTCCTTAGATCAATTTTAAATGCAACTCAGACCGCTTGATGTTCTGTATCAGCTGTGAGACCTTGAAATAGCCTGGCCAGATTCCCATTTCAGATTGATTAATTAATTTTACAATTTCACGTGACTGGTTTTGGTCACGGAAGTTGAAACTTGACGCAGACAGTGAACAAAATCACTCTCATAAAGAAGGTAGTACCTGCTTCTTCGGTGAAGTGACTTTAAATGTAAACGGAAGGCAAATAATAGTATAACACCTGTCAGGAGATAATACTTAAAAAATCTAAAGGGTTGTTGATAGACACCAAAAGAATTTATTGTAAAGACCAGGCCGCTAACTACTGGCCACCTTGCTTTTTTGGGGAGAATTGATGAAACGATGCACTTTCAATGGGAGGCTGAGACTGGCCGGCGAAGTTGAGAGGATGAGTTTTAATGACTTCTTTGTTGTGAAAAAGAATCTGGCAAGGTGTCATTTCTGGCTCTGCATCTGCATAGAACTTGTGGGGACATTTTGGTTTCAGATTTCCCAACTTTATTTTCCTTCTTTCCAGGAAGGCTTTCTGTCTTTCTGTGACAAGAAGCCCTCCATGAATTTTCTTTCTCGCCTCTTTTGAGCCTGCAGGTTGGATGGCTAAATCTGCTTATTTCCTTCCAGTATGAGAAAGCATTCTGGACATGTCTCACACAGGAACCCAGGAGAGCACTCTGCCTCTTACATCTTACGCGGATTGCCAGGACAGTAGCTTCTGCATACTTCACAGAGAACTGCGTAAGAAAGGGGCAGTTCCAGGCTATCATAATTACATATTCTTTGCCAAACAGTGATTTTTAGTCCAGACTCATTAAATAAACTCTTGGCTTTATTGTTAAAACAAATCAATTAGAGTTAGCTCATAGTACACCCCCCTTTTCTTTCCTTCCTTTCTTCCTGCCTGCCTGCCTGCCTTCCTGCCTGCCTCCCTCCCACAAACCTGTGCCTTGGAAGTGCTGCTCCTAGACTGCAGTATTGATGGAATGAAAGTCCCTGTCTCCTTAAAAACCTTTACTGTGTTCTCATTATCTTCATAGTCCAGTATGGTAGCCAGCAACCACTTGTAGCTCTTGAGCATTTGAAATGTGTCTGGTCTGACTTGAGAGTGCTGTAAGTAGAAAATGCACACCAGATTTTAAAGACTTAGTACAAAAAATTTTAAAAATATATTTCATTGGGGCACTTGGGTGGCATAGTCGGTTAAGTGTCCAATTCTTGGTTTTGGCTCAGGTCATGATTTTAGGATTGTGAGATTGAGCCCTGCATTGGGCTCTGTGCTCAGTGGGGAGTCTGCTTGGGATTCTCTCTCCTTCTCCCTTTGCCCCTCCCCACCATGGGCACGCATGCATGCATGCTCTCTTTCTCTTTAAAACAAATAAATCTTTAGAAAAAATGTATATATTTCATTAATGTGTGTATTCATTGCATATTGAAATAGTACTACTTTAAGTGTATGGGGTTAAATAACAAATTATTAAAATTTAATTTCACTTGTATTTATTTATTTTTAAGATTTTACTTATTCACTTGTGAGAGAGCTTGCGTGAGCACGAGTAGGGGGGAGGGGCAGAGGGAGAGGAGAGAGAGAGAATCTCTTGCAGACTCCGCACTGAGCGTGGAGCCTGACGTGGGACTTGATCTCACAACCTGAGCTGAAACCAAGAGGCGGGCACTTAAGTTGACTGAGCCACCCAGGCACCCCTATTTTTACTTTTTCAAATGTAGCTACTAGGAAATTTAAAACTGTGTATGTGGTTCACATATTTCTACTGGACAGGCTAGGATAGTATTGTTTCTTGAACTTGTCATTTGCATATCACATTTAAGGTTTCTGCCATATCCAGGTGACACCTGTACTATTATTTTTCTTGAGAAATTTTAAAAAAATTAATTCACTATTTTATAAATTGAGATAGCACTTACATGTAATAAAATGCACGGATCTTAACTCTACAGTTAGATAGATCTTGGCATTTGTAATTCTTTTGTCAGTTCCCTTTCTCTTCTTCCCTACAATCACTTCAGTTCACCTTTTTAAGTTAAATTCAGTTTTTAAATACAGTTTAGATCTATGAAATCCTGGGTTTGGTGCGTTGTTGTTTTTTTTTTTCCCTGAGACAAATGAAAGTGAGTGCACACTATAAATATAAATAAAAAATGTATTCATGTATCACCCATCTTGTGCAAGCCCAGGGGTATGAGTATTAGACTTTGGGAAACCTAGGGCTACATCGCACTCCCCCACAGCCCTTCTTGCCAGCTTGCTCTTGTTGGATACAGGGTGTACTTGCTTGGCATTGAATCCTCACTGCCCGTGTCGGCCGGCAATGCCCTCAGTTGCTTCTTCATTTATTTGTGTCCTTGTCCTCCATTGTACACACGTGTCCCATTGTTTTATGGCTGTTTTGGGGGCATCTCCCTCACTTGCCCTTGATAGAGGGAGACCCTTGTGGGCAGAGGCCATGAAATCATCTCTGTTTTTCAGCTCATGTTCAGTATGTGTTTGTTGAGCTGAGACAGGATAACCCTGCGCTCTATAAAGCAAAATCTGAGTCATCAAAAACCACCTGGGAAATGGAGGGGACTTTCTCTTCTTCCGATGTGGAAAGTGCTGAACGTTTTTCTGAGATAACAGAGGAAGATAATTACTACACTTCTCAAGTAATATACCGCATTGGGTCAGAGTCAACAGAGCAAACACCCCATTAAGTACACAGGCAACACAAAGATGGAGCAAAGGGCAAATGCTCATTGGGAAATTATAGGCCAAAAAGCCGAACAGTGAAACCCAGCTGGGATTCATGAATGGCTAAGACAGGCCTCTGCTGTTTCAGGTTATCTGAGCCAATGACTTGCCTCAGGTAAAAGCCCTGGTTCAGGGTTGCAGAGAAACTGCCCGCTAACCATGTGAGTTTAAGAGACCTTACAGTCTTTACGAATCCTCACCCGGTTGTGACCTGGCACTGCTTCAGTGGTCTTGGAATTTTCATTTTGTTGTTTCTCTCCTTACTGTTAGCCTGGAAGTCCTCCTAGGGCAGGAACTATGCTGCCGCCGCCTCCTCTTTCCTTACCCCTAGCAGGCTAACTGTTTGGATAAAAAGGTGTCAAAAGCAACTTTACTTAGTCGTTCCCAGATTAACCCTCCTTTGTTACAGTTTGATAACTTCACCTTTACTGTTGATGATACTCAGCTGTGATAGAAATGAAGGCATAAAAAATTGTATTACTTCTGATAAATCTCCCGCTTTATTTTTATCAGCAAAGTTGCTTATTTGCTATGTGTTAGAAGAGTGTATTTTGAAATGTGTGAGTTGACCTAACGGCAAGGGGTCACTTATATTAGAGGGTTTTTTTTTTTGTTTTTTTTTTTTTTGTGATGCTGGATTGCACAGAGCCATTGCCCCAGATTTTTTTTTTTCCTATTGTTAAAGCTGGTATAAGAATTAAGCCCCTGATCCTGGTTATTACCTACAGGCTAGCTAGACAGGAAACTAGTGTAACCACAGTGTGGCCTTTTGAGGCCATTTTCCAGTTAAGTATAAGGAATTTGACCAAAATACCTGGAAATATGAGGGTATCTTGAAAATTGCTAAAATTGCTCACATAAAAACAGATTTGATTTTAGGGCAGGGAGGGAATTAAGGCAGTCCACCAGATAACTTAGTTTAGTCTTGCTTCCATCCCGTTCCTTTGTAAGAAGGAATGTTTTCATTTGGCCCAGTGAGAAATTTAAACTCTCGAAGATTATAATTCATTAAAACGGGTAGAAGATTAATATTTTGTCTGTCAAGATCAATACTGTCCCCTCTTTGCACTAATTGTCAGAATAGCGTGCGAGGGCCGCTGAAGGGTAGTGGTGTGCGGCAGAACCCTCACATCACAGGGAAACGATTCAAAGGCAAACTGTCCTGCACCCTCTGGTATCGACTTGCAAATTAGCATCTGGAATCTAATTAAACAAGCTTAATGAAAGTAGCAGCTGAATGCTGCTGGAAAAGACAATCCGCTTTTTTCCCCCTCTCTGATACATATTCTGTACTATTGAAGTTGGTCACCAAACACATCGTGTGAGCACAGTTAAAAAAAATTAGCATTTATTTGAAGAATAGAAACTGTTTTTCATTCTGTTATGCATTTGGCATGCTCTGGCGTCCCCTGAGAGCCATGCCACAGCGGATAGTGCACAATATTTAGAAATCCGTGACAGGCAATAATAGCGACTTGAAAAATTCTTTTGCTAGAATCTCAAGTTGAGAGCTGCCAAAAGCGGAGAGGATCAGATCTGCAGTGGCAGCTGCTGTGCCCTACAGTTAGAATTCTAGACTTTGAAGATGCTCAACTTAGAGAAATGAAGACTGCAGGCTTAGCCAGTTTTTGCAGGTTTCTAGAGCTCTGGCTCCCTGCCTTTTGAAGATGAGTTGCCGAAGCTTCTCCCACTGCCTGAGGCGTGCTAACACCAGCAGGGTCTTTTTTTTTCTCCTAGTCTTAGTGTGTCTTCAGTTGTAAGTCGCACATGCTTAGTCAGTGCCAACTGTGATGGTCCTTTCTCTGGTCACAATGCCGAGGGATGAGCTCTTACCCTCTACCCTTCAGAGAGAAGCCACGAAGATAGATGGTGACGTATACAAGTGCCACTTCAGCCGGCTGATTTATGGAGTCCTATTTCATCGCTCGGCAAGTGCTGGCCTCTAGAGAAGCCCTTATAGATTGCTAAAGATGTGAGCAGCTCTCGCCCTAAAGGCTTGTGGTTACCTCACAGACGTGATGCCAAACACCTAGCTACCGAAGAAACAGAATTAATCTGTCATCGCAGGCAGCTATAGATCCACTTTAAGTAATGAAAGAATTCATACCAATATGGTGTCCTGACAGCAGATCTTAGAAGTAACTGTAGTGGGGGTTTTTTTTGTTTTTAAGTCTGGTGCAAGACACTGACGTTACAGATTCATTTGTGCTTTGCGAGACGGACCGTAGTGTAAGAGAGCTGCATTATTTTGATTAAAAGGAAGAATTTGTTCAGCTTGGCACGGAGACTGGTCCCGAAGGAAAATACAGAGCATGGGTTCAGTGTGGTCAGGTAGAAAGGGGAATGGGAGCTTAGGAGCTAGAGGATCGGGCTGTGAGTCTGGTTCCACTGTCCTTGTGGCATGACTCGGGGCGAGCCACGGCCCAAGACTGTTTGTCTAGAAGATGGGGATCCAGAGACCTGCCTGGAGGTTGCTGTCAGGATTAGATGTGGTCTGTAAAACACCTTATATGGTGGCTCACACAACATTGGCTCTAAAATATGGCAGCTGCATCTGTTTTTCAGTTCATCAGTAGCAGGATACAAACATCCCATAGCAACGACTAATACGACCATTTGTACCTGCATCAGGCTTGGCGATTATAGCATCATACAGATAGGACTCTTCTTTTCCATCCGAAAGCTTAAAATCCGAGACAGACTTATGGAGAGGCCATAATGACAGCAGAGGAAGCCTGTTTGACACATACCAGAGGCCATGGAAGTATTTGCCTTTTTGCTGGGATGGGGGAGGAGCTATTGAAGGTACAGTAACCGTGGCAGCCAGTGCTTGTTGGGTCCTGGTGCGCTGCGCCGGACCCTCTAGCTTCCTCGGCGTCCTCTCCTTTACTCTTCAGTAACTGCGTGGGGCCTGTACTTTGTTAGCCCCGCTTTGTGGAGAAGAGCAGGAGGCCGTGGGGAGGTCAGATAGGCACCTTGCCCCAGGTCACAC